TTTATTGGGTGTAATTTTTCATTCGGATATAAAAGCTGTATTTATGTCTAATAAATATAAATGATATTCAAATGGGTTATTGATTTTTATCATCAATTCAAAATAAAGCTCTCCGGAATTAAATAGAAATACTTCCAATTTATAGGGTGGACCAACTAAAAAGCTTACAAATTTTGTTTTTTATTTTTTTTTATCAAAAACGTTTCAAAGACAAAATAAAAGTATTGAGAATTGAGGAATATTTTTGAAGATCACAGTAGTTTATTTTTATTAACTTCACTTTTGATTTTTTCATATTGATTTTTCAACGTTTAATAAAAGTTTTCACATTTTAATTATTTTCATCTTCTGATTACCACTGCTGAGATATTCTTTTCAAAAGGTTATGGGCCCAGCTATGCAGCGACATTAAAAAGAAAATAACTAAGAAAATATTAATAAGTCAGTTTAATTATATTATCAGAAAATGGATGTTTCAAAAACTCTAATTAAGAAATTAGAAGGATAAAGCAATTTTTTGGATTAAAAATTCCAAACTAAAATTCAACTGCATGCAATAAATGCATGGAAAGAATTTGGTGTATTCTAAGAAACCTGGTGAAAGTGCAACTCAAAATGATTTAACGAAGTATCAACAAAAATTGAAAGAAATTACTAAAATTAAGTATTCTGCTCAAAATATAATAGTTACAAGCCTAAGTTCTTAAGTTAGGCAACTTATTAATATGTGCAAAAATGCAAAAGGTATGTGGGTTAAACTGTTAGGAATATATGAACAAAGGACAGAGCAACGACAGGATCGTCTATTTAATGTTTTTGGTATAAAAGAAAATTGGTCTGAAACATATTGCAAGCCTCGAGAAAATTTGGGTTGAATTACAGGCTGAATCCTGGAAAGAGAACAAAGTAAAACTACCATAATCTTTGTTCCTGAATAGGGTTCTTAATACTTTACCCTCTGAATATTTTGAATTTGTCAACGCATGGGAGTCTGTTCCAAAAAAAGGAAGAAATATAAATCATTTAAGAGAACGACTTAGTACTCGTTTGAACGAGCGAAATGCAGATGCAGCTGACGCTTCAAACAACTCAATCTTATATGTTTCCAGAAAAAAGCCTCACTTTTCTAGCAGTAGCAAAGCAGATGTTCCAAAGAAATTCAAAAGTAAATTCGAATGTTATCGCTGTGATGTTTAAGGTCATTTTAAAAAGCATTGTCTGAAGGAGAAAGAAGTCAAAGAAAATACATTAGTTGGGTCAGCCTTTGTTTCAATCTTCGATTTTCTCCCTAATTTACATGTAAGAGAAACTTGGATATCAGATTCTGGAGCGACTGAACATATGACCCTAAACAAACATTGGTTTTCAACTTTTGAATATTTTACCACTTCCCAATATGTATTAGTCGGAAACGGTCAAAGAATACATGCATTGGGAAAAGGAAATATTAATGTTGAGAGGCATGTATGCAATAAATGGGTTCAAAACTATTTGGAAAAGTTGTACCTGATGTTGGTAGAAATCTTTTTTTGTTGTCATCTGTTGTAAACAAGGTAATGTGTACGTCTTTAGAAAAGAATATGTGTAATATTTTTAGAAATAAAGACGTAGCAGCAGAAGGATGCAGAAATAACGGACTTAATGCACATGTAAGTTTTGATCTCTAAAAACAATGCAGAAGCCCTTATTGCCTCATCAAACAGCCTTCAGTTATGGCATGAACGTTTAGACTATCAAAATAAGCAGCACGTTAAACGTTTTTTTTATCGCAGGTAGGAATAGATATTCAAGTAGACTATTTGTAAATTGCAACTTCATGGTTTTTCGGACGCTAGTTCCTTAGCATACGGATGCTGCGTATACTTGAGAGGTCTTTATGAAGATCACACTGCTTCTTCATTTCTTATTACATCTAAATCTAGAGTTGCTCCCACTAAAAAAGTTATAAATATTCCAAAACTGGAATTGTGTTCCATAGTACTTTTAGCACAATTAATATCCAGATTAGAAAGTATATTTAAAAATTATCTTGTTATATCTGAAACAGTATTATGGTCAGATTCTAAGGTAGCTTTGTCATGGATTAAAGGGCCTCCCTCCAAATGGGCTGTGTTTGTTTCAAATAGACTTTCTACCATTCAAAAACTTACTCACAAAGTTCCGCGGCACCACATCACTTCTCAGTTTACCCCCGCCGACTTGTTGTTTAGGGAAAAATTTCCAATAAGGCACTTGGATTTTTGGATTCGTGGTCCTTTGTTTTTACTAGATTATAACGCAGACTTATTGTTTTACGATTCATTTTCACAATTTTCTAATCCATCTGAAAAACGAAAACACAGTCATATCATACAAATGCTAGAAACTATTTGGCTCACATTTTTTTGAAGTTTTTATCTCTGAGTAGATTAAAAAGATCTTTGACCTACATTTTTAAGTTCATTTACAATAATCGTAATAAAATAAAAATGTATGAACCTCTTACTCCCAAAGAACTAAATAACGCACTCACATTTGCTGTAAAGCAAATTCAACAAAACTCATTTACAAACGAAATAATGTATCTAAAAAAAGCATTTAATTATTATCAACAAACAGATTGCTTCATTCAACCCCTTTTTAGATAAAAATTATATTTTAGGAGTAAGAGGCAGATTATCCTATTCAGATCTAAATTTTGATCAAAAACACCACATTCTTCTTCCTTCTAATAGCCATTTTACTTCCTTGGTGTTGCAAAAGGAACACCTAAGGTTAGGACATAGTGGTCCTCAAAGTGTGCTAGCCAATATTTGCCTTCAGTTTTGGGCTCATTGAAGGACTCCGCGAATTCAAAAGAATAATAAATAAATGTATCAACTGTGATAGATTTAATAACTTATGGCTGACCTTTCCAAGACTCGTGTATTCCCTTCTCGACCGTTCCAAACTATCGGCATAGACTTCAGAGGACCCTTTATGATTAAATTATCTTGTCTTCAGAAGGCCCCCATTACTAAGAGTTATGTAGCCCTTTTTGTGTGTTTTTGCTCCAAAGCTATCCATTTGGAACTGGTGTCAGACTTAAATACCGAGGCATTTATAGCTACCCTTAAACAGTTTATCTCACGAAGAGGACTTAAATCGGTTATATATAGCGACAACGCAACTAATTTCGTAGTTGCTAATAACGAGCTAAAAAAGTTTTCACAGTTTCTCATACAAAAATGTTCTCCTGTATATGATTATTTACTCACTTCTTCCATTGACTGGAAATTTATCCCTCCAAGGTCCCCCCAGTGGGGCGGTCTTTGCCATTAAAAGTGTAAAGTCTCACTTAAAGTGCTAAGTAACTTTACCTTTACCTTTGAACAGTTGTACACTGTTCTTTCCCAGACTCAAGACCATTGTTTCTCCTCTCCTTAGATCCCAATGATTTGAATCCTCTCACCCCAGAACATTTTTTTAATCGGAGCCCCGTTGATGTCACTGCCTGACAAAGATATTTCCCTGGCAACCGTTAACAGGCTATAGCACAGAAGAAACTTTATCCTGTGGCTATAGTTTTGTCAGCAATGTACCCATGTGCAACAGAATTTTTGGAAGCGGTGATCAGTAGACTATCTCAACCAACTCCAAAACCGTCCTAAGTGCACTACCCCTCGTTGAGATCTTCAAATCGACAAGATGGTACTCCTCAAAGAAGATGATACTCCCCCCTTAAAGTGGCCATTAGCACGGATCGTTGACGTAATCCCTGGTAAAGATGGGAAAGTCCGATCTGTACAAGTCCGCACTGCTTCTGGTGTGTATCTACGCCCTATCGTCAAGATCGTCTCTTTACCCATGACCGAAGCTCCTGTCTTCCATCATGTATCACTTAACTGTATATTTGTATATAAACCGCCGCTGAAATGGCTATTGGCTCACGTTACCAACGTTTTTAACAGTAAAGACGTGCAGCCGAAGTTTATACAAAAGATGGTTCTTACACCAGGCCAATTACCAAAATGATTCTGCTTCCAATTAATGACAACAAATGTGCCCCAAATTAGATACCCTATCACTCTCACGTTTTTAAAGTTTGATTTTAACATAATTTAATTAACATGTTTAGATTTGTTATTGGCTATAATAATTTATTGTTTGATTGCATATTTCAATTCGTTTTCTTTTATATTTTGCGCTGGGCAGTATGTTAAAAATTCACGTTTTAACAAGAAAAAGTAATCAACCTGTATATAAGAGTTGCTTTGGCAACTGTCATAACGATATATTATTTTTTTGTGACAGCAGTATTATGTAAAGAAAAACCACACCAACACCAAAAAGAAAGCAGTAGTTGCCCTAAACTCCCCGCTACTCACTAGTTGTATCTCAAATTCCAGCGAATAAATTGATTTACCACAACCAGTCGCAGTTTTAATAAAATCTAAGTTAGCACTCCAAATCACAATTAAAAAGAAACTTTATAAATTTCCTTCCATCGTGATGTAACCCCTGAAGTACCTCCTTTTTAACAAAAAAAGAATTATTGAAATCGGACACCGTGTTAAAGAATTATCGATGAATATAAATAAAAAAATATACATACCGACAAATTGAGAACCTTCTTCTTTTTGGAAGTCGGTTAAAAAGAAAATTTACATAAACTAGTCAACAAGGACAGAGACTAAAAGGCTTCAAAATCAACCTAGACCAGACGAACTAATTAATATTTTGGTTCCATTAGGAGATAAACAATTAGACCAAGATTCGCAATTAATGATTTATCTTTAAGTTTATATTGTTTGTTACTTTCCCATTGCAGGCCTGATGAGGTACAGATATTGAGAACTATTTTGTCCTTTTTCTAAAAATGTCGAAAAATCCCAAATAATCCGATTAAATAACAGACTCGAACAGGTGCGTCTGGTATCATCGAATCGCTTCCATCGCCACACCATACCTCCTCGCAAATAATACATCATAAAACATCTATCACCTGCGACTTATTGAAAATTAAGGTCACCATCGAAGTCGTCGAAGATTCCTCGAGTATGCATATTCGCCGACCCCAGATTGTGATCTCTTGCGATTCTGCGGTGAAATCATTGTTTCTTTTGGTACCACCAGTCTTCAGCTAACTGTGCTTGTGGGTGCATTTCTCGGTATCGTCCATAGACTTTATTAAGTTTTCTCATCGTTAGTGCCTAGGAATCAGAATCATGCGTTGGGTATGCGAAATTATTACTTTTTATTTTTAGCTTAGAATAGTGAAACGTAATAAATATACACTGTGAGCCAAATTAAAAATTAAATTGGATCACTGATAAAGGGTACAAGTCATATTTTTGTCCACTTTGTCGCATTGTTAAGTGCATAAAAGGTTTATGTTCCATTACATGTGAGGTATAAAATTTATTGCATTAAATGACGTAGAGACCTTTTCTGTAATCAGTGATCCAATTAAAGTTTTTAACAACCAATAACTTTTTAACTATTGCTCGAATTAAATTAGATTTTGCAGGGTAAGTGAGATGGTATATTGATTCTTGGCTGATCAATTTTTAATAAAACATTATTGCCAAATACGCCAAAAGGCTTGAAACCCTTTTATAGGTGTATTAAATATAGATAAGTAGATGTAATTTATCCAGTAAGATTACATGTTAATAATTATATTACTAATACAAATACCTACCTAAAATCTCAGCTTTACAATAATAAAATGAATATTTAGATACATTTTATAAAAATATATAAATAAATAAAGTTGATAAAACAAAAAATTAATCAGTAATTAATATATCTTTTTTAAATTGTGGAAAACTTAAAAGGAAAATATCGACCTTGTGAATGTCTTTTACACTTTTCTACATGGAATATAAGGGCGAATTAAAGTAATGATATGTGTTTGGTACGGGAATATGTACTAATGGATACTCGCGAAGTGATACGGGAACATTAAAAAATTTATATTTGTATCGTCTGCAAATAAAAGTTTTTCAGATGTCATACACCAAAAGGAAAATTAACAAAGGCCCATTATGGGATCCTTGTGGAACCCCCGAGGTTGCTACAAAGTATAATGACTTTGTTCCTTCGTAAGCTTTTTCAAAAGTTGACCATGGAAAACGCGATCAAAGGCTTTCCTAAAGTCATTATATGCCACATCTACCTGTTTCTGGGAATCTAATGATTAAAACACAAACTGTGTGAATATGCAAAGGTTAGAAGTTGTATTCTTGGTTTTAACAAAGCCATGCCGAAAATCAAATAATGAAAGCCTTACATGGTTATACAAGGTGTTTCTAAACATCATATCATAATTGAAGGAGGCCATTCCTTGGCTCATATTATGACTTAAAGTTCATATTATAAACTGTCTTAAATTAATTTGTTTCGAAGATACAGGGTGTCCAAATTTTAAAAAATAATCAGTTTTTCATCAATATCATAAATACTTTTTGCCGATTTTGATGAAATTTGGTACATATTCAATCTAATTTCATGAAAATGCTATAATTTGTTTGCATGGCCCACTTGACATTTTGTTCATTTTAAGATTTTGTGCAGGCCCTGGACTCCCATTCTCGAATATGTAATAAGGAATATGAAGAGAACGTTCAACAAAAATTACTTTTTTATTGAGATTATCAGCATACGTTATGTTTGAAAATTTTTAGAAAATTTTAAGTCATAACACTTTTTGGATGGAAGACTTATTGGCGTGCAATCAAACAGTTTTTATTTTTTATCTCAATAAAAACACGAAAAATAGAGAAAGTTTAAGAGACAAAAAAGATGTGTTTTTGATTGGCGAATTTGAAAAAGAGAAGAAAAAATATGAAAAAGTCAGCGGCGTACTTTTTTTTTTAAAAATATCAATTAAGTTGCTTTTGGGAACTGAATTAATAATTCAGATATGTATAACTAAGTCAAAATTAGTCTCTTACTACAACAAATGAATCTGCCAAGTTTTATCAAAATCGGTAGAAGAGTGTTTATGATATGAATAAAAAAATTGATTATTTTTAAAAATTTGAACACCCTGTATTACCCTGTATAACAATTTAGGACACATGTATATATAAAGATTTAGTCATAAATTGTGCCAATGAATTACCTTCTTCAATTATGACATGATGTTTAGGAACACCCTATATAACCACGGTTCGTAGACACTACGCTTGCCTCATCCCCGTTGCTAAGGACGGAGTGACCTCACCGAATGAAAAAGCGAGTTTACAGAGTTTTGTAAAGAATATAATATATTATTGATATTTAGTGGTTTATATTTTTATTTTTGAAATATTTTATAGTGTTAGAATTTTTATAATATCGAAGTTTTGATATTTTAAAAGACGAGCTACAAAACAGCAAAGAAAAATTATGTAATGATTTCCATAAAATTTCAAATAAATTACTTTTTATTTAAATTATAAAAAGAAAAATTAAGTATTGTGTGAATGATTTATTTTAAACATTTTGATTTAGGATACATCCTCCGAGATGAACTCGGTCCACTTTTTGTTTATACCCTAAAATATTTGAAATTTTAGCATGTCTGGAGCAAACTGTAGTGTTACTACTGTTAGCAAACACAATTTCTGCAAACAAAAATCATCAGCGGAAAGGTACTGAACTTGAATAGAAATTAGAGACTAATGGTTACGTTTTAGAATATTATTCTCCAATTATCATTCACAATTATTAAATTAACTTTGTTGACTCTACATTTAAATGCAGATGAGATGACTTCTTACAAGTAATAAACACAACCAAAAGTAATAAAGGTCAAAGGGCTTTACTAGAAGAATATACATGATAGAAAAAAGGGTCTGCTACAATGAGTTTTTAGTAAAAAAGAGTTAAAAATCATTTTAAGAAGGATTCAGAAGAAATTTCTAAAGTATTCAAGATAAGATATTTAAGTAAAAGGTGCTATATTTACGTCAGAAATACTCCCTTGCTGGGGCTTTCAACTTGTGCTCTTGGTTGTGTTCAGTGCTTGTTAGAAACTATCTCATCTGCTTTTAAATGTAGGGTGGACAAAGCTGCAATTAATTTATTAATTGTGAATGATAATTGCAAAATAACATTCTGAAATCTTACCATTAATTGAATCGGTGAGTTCAAAAACCGTACAAGTCCAAAATTTGTTTTGTTAAAAAATTGTACCTTCATCGGTTGAGCTTAAAAACCGTACTAGAAATTAATCGAAAAACCGTACATATATATGTTCTTATCCGAGAATTGGTAGACTATGCAACCACAAATGCACAGAAATGTATTTCAGGCTGCTTATCAATTTCTTTAAAGAGGGGATTTTGGCGAAGACGTAAGGAACGTGGATTTCGAGGTTATGTATTAAATTGACGGAGCCTTAGAGCATATTCTAAGGACGGAGCTGATGGGTATAGAACAATGAACTGGAGTGGGGTAGAATGCTTATCAATAGGCTTGAGATGCGACTCTATGGGCGAAGACAGGTTATTTTTCATCTCACTCGGGAGTATTAATAACAACCATTTTCTATTTCACTTTGTTATTGTCTGATCCACCAGCTTGTGGATTGAACAATAACAATGTGAAACAGAAGATGGTTATCATAAATACTCCCAAGTGAGATGAAAAATAAAAATGGCTGCGCATCTTATTCTATCGATACAATATGCACATTGGCTTTCTACCCAACTTCAGTTCATTGGTATAGAACCCTCTTAAGGATAGCAGTTAGTGGCGACTTATAGTATTCAGGTGCGCTCGCCAACATTCGTATCAGTTAGAATTTTTTAAATAATGAATATTTAATATCCTTCTAAAATGGTAATTTTTATGGCATCTTCCATATTATGTACTATTGTAAACAACAAAAAAGATGAACTGTTATTTAAAATTTTTAAAATGAGTTTAGAAATATGTACAAGGACAAGGACTCCAATGTCAAAATTTCAGGTTTCCGATAAGTCTTATTTTTAACCGGCTTCAAAAAAGGAGGAGGTTCTCAATTCGTCGCGATATTTTTTTTTTATTTATGTTCAGCGATTATTCTTTATTACGGTGTCCGATTTCAATGATTCTTTTTTGTTAGAAAGGGGGTAGTTCAGGGATGGTCCCATATAAATTTGGTTAAAATCTAATAATTGGGTCCATGAGAAAATCCTCACTCTTCATTTTTTATGTATATCTAGCGATAATGCTTTACCACCTTGTCCGATTTATATGATTCTTTTTTTGTTAGTAAGGGGGTACCTCAGGGGTGGTCCCATATAAATTTGGTTAAGATGTGGTGATGGCATCTGCACGTTTTTGAAGTCGATTTTTTAAAAATTTTAATTTCTAATACTTGTAATAATAACGATTTTAAAACTACCATAACAGTTAAAATTTCAATATAGAGAAGATACTTTTAAAATTACCTTTTCTCTAAATTTTAATTTTAAATATTTATAACTTAAGTCTTATTAATATTATTTCTTTATAGCATAAAATTTATTTGCCTCTAATTACGTAGTATCTGACATTATAGAAATTTGAAATATCTCTCTAATGCATCTTATCATAATACCTTAGAAGAAAAAGTCCCATATTTTCTTCTTGGAAGGACCAAATGTTAAGCTGGTATTAATTAAGTATTATAATATCGGAAATTATAATTCTACAAAATTTATTAAACTATTTACATTATTACCCGAAATTGTTATTAGAATCTATAAAATAATGTTCTACGCCTATGGTAAGCGTTTACTTCGGTTATTTTCGCAGTGCAATTGTCAATTCCAGTGTACAAAGTAGGAAAACTGGCAAATAAAAGCCTTTCCAACTTCTACTCCTGCAGGGTTATTCTACTAAATTTATAGCCCGGCTACAAGTTGGATTTTGGCTTGAACTTTATATATTCCTACTTCAAAATCCAACTTGTAGCCGGGCTATAAACTTGTAGCCGGGCTATAAATTTAGTAGAATAACCCTGCTGATATATGTAGCGTAATGTTTACCTTAGCGTAGGGAATCAGTACAGGATTGTTAACACTAACGAAGCCACTATTGGTATAGTAAAATTAAAGAGTAGGAGTACTAAAGGCACTGAGTGCCAAAACTAAATTTTCTGGGTATGTGTTTAAAAAGGTTGTAAATACAATCACCAATATATCCACAAAGGTTCGAAGTAAGTACCATATAATTTCTGAGCTTATGTGAATTAAAATAAATGGTAAGAAAAGATACAGTT